AAGGAAACTCTGAATAAGTCCTCACGGTGTGTATTCTTCACTCTTTAATCTATCTTGTCCTCCTGCACCCCTTCCTCCTGCCCCTGGTGCGGGTTAAGCGTATGTGATGGGAGCTGTGGCAAGAAATGCCAAGGCCCACGCAGCTTGAATGGCAGGAAACAAAAGTCGACTGGAGACAAACCCTCTATTGTTTGCATTCTAGAAACTTCTGGAATATCTGAAGCAGCTCTCCCCCCAGCTACTGGAACTAACCTGTGTTTGGAGGGTGCTGGGCAGGGGCAAGGCTGAATCCCAACTCATCCCTCTTCACCTCTGTGCCAGAGGGTGGAGAGCGAGACTCTTGACTGGAAGGCAGACCCTGTCTAGAGGGAGCCAGAGCCACAGGGGCAAAACCCCTGCAGCAGCTGGGACCTGCAGGAGGCTCGGTGGGGACAGGGCCAAGGCGAGGGGCAGGCTGGGGCCTCCTGTCTACACGCCCATGTAAAATATGCGTGAAAGTGTCAGTCATTCAGTCGTGTCTGACTCTTTGCGACCCGATGATGTGTCAATGGATTTCTCCAGCCAAGAATACTGGAGTGGGTTGCCATTCCCTTCTCCAGGGGATCTTCCTGACCCAGGGATCAAACCCTGATCTCCTGCATTGCAGGCACATTCTTTACCGTCTGAGCTACAGGAAGTCTGAAATATGCATAGCATGCGGTTTACCATTTCAACCATATTTTAAGTGCACAGGTCAGTAGCTTTAAGTACATTCTCATTGTACAAACACCACCACCACCTATCTCCTCCCTAACTTTCTTCCCCTTCCCAAGAGAAAATTCTGTCCCCATTAAAGTACAGCTTCCCTCCCCGTCTCCAGCCCCTGGCCCCCATCATTCCACCTTCTGTCTGTGGGTTTGACTCGAGGCAGTTCATAACGATAGAATCATCCCCCGTGACTGACTTGTTTCATCATTTCATAATGTCTTCAAGGTCCCAGAACTTCCTGAGCCAAGCTTGTCTCCTATCAGTGCTGGCTTTTACTCACACTGCAGGCTCAGCCCTTTCTTTCCAGCTCATGCCCCCGACTGTGTGGTCTGTGGCCTTTGTGGGTGTCAGCACCCTCATGACCGCCCCTCCTGAGATGCCCGAGGCTGCAGCACGGTGTCTGCACTGGTGTGTGGAGCGTGGTGTCCTCCTCACTGGGCGCACATGCCTTCCTCTTCTGCGTGGGTTGCTGTGTGTGAGGCTTGATCCTGCTGCCAAGGCTGACCTCTAGGATGTCCCAGAGCCTGGAGGCTCAGTGCCTGGGGCAGTGTTGGGGTTGGAGAGTTCCTTTCTGGATGTGTCCCTGGTCCCAGGACTTGTCACCTCTCACTGAGCCCCTTGGGACAGAGCGCAGACTCAGTTGCTGCTCTCAGCATCCCTGATGTGGGTCGGTCCAGCCCTTTGGTGCCCATGGAGACACACAGGCTGAGGTGTTGGGGGCCCTGCGTGGCTGCAGCCACATGGTAGGACGTGGTCCTCCACCTGCGATGATGTCTCGAGTCTGACCATTGAAACCCTGTGCATGACCTGTGAGCGTGCTTGGCCAGCCACCCGGTCTCTCTTACCAAAAGTGTGAGCACTTTCCATATAAACAGGAAATTTCATTCACCTGCAAAAAAATGGGCTTCGCTCTGTTGGCTCCAACTTGAGATGGCGGCGAGTAGCTGGGTTTGCAGGCAGGGTCACGGTCACTCTGGGCAGGGCTGGTGGACCTGGTGCCTCGTTCAGAGGCGATTCCTCCTCCTCTTTCTCTCGTCTTCCTGCTCCTTTCTCTCTTCTCTTCCTCTCCCCCCATCAGCTCCCCCCACCCCCCCATGCTGGGTGGAGTCCGGGGGTGACCTCAGCTCCCCGCATGCCGTGCTGAGTCCCAGGCCAAAGCTAACTGGGCCTCGAGCCCAGCCCATCAGGGCGCCCCTCTCCCAGCAGCTCGGTTTTGGCATCGCCGCCTCCCCAGCTGTGGGACTCGGGTCGTTTGGACTTGTGGCGGTATGAGGATGAACAGTGTGCCGAGGGGAGAAGGGGGGCCTCATTTTTTGCCGGGAGGGAGCAGCCCTTCAGTCCTGAGTCATTGCCTTCTCAGCACTGACCTGCCGTTCCCAGAGCCGGCCATAAAAGGCGCTGGCGGCGAGGCTAGGGCCAGCCCGCTCCCCGCTCCTCCAGGGCCCTGGGGACCTTGTACTTTGGAGCCTGCAGCCTGGCGGTGGCGGGCGGGGAAGTGACCCGGCCCTTGCCCACTGCCTTCATACACCCTTTGAGTGCAGGGAGTCTGGTAGCCCGGCTGTTCCATTGTCTGCACAGCCCCTGGAAGGCTGATGGCTCCCCTGCCCAGGCTCAAGTTCACATTCACAGGGGCTTTGCTGCCCCCGACTCCACCTCACTCCCACCCTGTTCAAAAACTGGAGGGGGCAGGCGGGCGGGCGGAGCCTCCTGTCAGAGCGTCCTGGTTCCCCGCCCCCCGTCCTGTGGTGGGAACGGGTTGCCCTGGCCAGGCTGTGTGCTAAGTCGATGGAAGTCATACATTTGGGGTTTTCCTGAAGTTTCGGTGTCTTCCCACAAGGGTCAGCGCTGGCCTCCGGCCTTAGAGCCAGGTGGTAATGCACCCGGTGACCCAGAGCCTCGTTGCAGGGGCCCTGCCCCCTCTCCCCGGCCTGAGCCTGCCCAACCCGCATGCGGTGTCATTTGGTGCCGAGGCCTGTGCTGGGAGCCCACTTAGTCCTCCCTGTGAGCTTAGGAGAAGGAATTGTAATTTGACTTTTACAGGGGAAAAAAAGTGTAACTCAGAAGTTAAGAACTTCAGGTCACAGAGTCAGTGGCCTGAGCCGGGAGTGGACTCCAGGGCTTTGTTACTAAGGGCCTGCATTGCCTCTGCATGTCCGGGTGCGGGCAGACGCCTTCATGGCTGTGGCTTCAGGCGGGCAGGCAACCCTGGAGCCCACTTGAATCAGGGGCCAGGCAGCCGGAATGTTTGTCTAACCAGGCACAGCTTCACCGCCGGCACGCCCCACACGGCCTGGTTTATCTTAAAGCACCCCCCGCCCCCGGGGAGTGTTCTGGCTGGAGGGGAGGTGGCCCACGAGGCTGGACTCACGTTCAGCCTGGGAGGCTTGGCGGGACGTCTCAGCCCCCGCCTTACAAGAAAGCAGGGAGGACAGCCCTCTCTGTGGCACCGTGAGTCACTCTGGGCCTTTTGTTGACACTTGGTCCTTTTCTTTGGTCTCCCCCTCTACCTGCTGCTTTGCTGTTTCCTGCCGTCCAGAGAAGGCCTGTTTAAATCCCAGCCTGGTTGGGGTGGGGAGTGTGGGTGCAGCTCTGCAGTGGAGGAGGGGCTGGTTTTTGGCCTGTTTCCGGGCAGTGCCCCAGGCCCTTCTGTACAGGAGCGCTTTCTCTGGCACCTTCTCAGGGGCGTGACTGTACTTTGGGAAGGACACAGTGGTTCCTAGGAGGGCCGGCCTGCATTTGGGGTGGCCTCTGGCCAGCAGGTAAGGAACAAGGGGACTTGCCCAGAGTCATGCAGAGAGTGGCGGCTCGAGGGCTGGGACCCAAGCTTCCAAAGACTCTTGAGCCCTTGTTTCATGGCCTTCCTACCACTCCTTAGTGTTCCTAAAAGATAAGCAGAAGTTTTACCTCTGGGGACAGTACAGGTAGAAGCATTTTGAGGTCGCATAATTGTAAAAAGGGGTTACAAATTAAACCAGTATTGCAGAGACTCACAGATCCATTGGCTTCAATGAGGCATCTGATAGTTTGTGTGAAATACAATAGTTCTGAACCCAGAGTAGGTATTCCAGCTCCTGTCCTCACACCTGCATTCCAGTCCCTGGGGAGGGAGACAGGACAAAGGGTTGGTGCGCCTTTTCATGGCTTGTTCCTTTCTGCAGCAGAGAGGCTGGGAAATTCAGTCTGAAGCTGGGGGACCGGGAATTCAGCTGAAACCAGACAGTTCTGTCAGCAGTGCAGCCACAGACCAACAGCCTTAATTGTTGTTGGGAAACAGCACAGAACGGAGTTGGGAACCAGGGCTTAGTCTAGCCGATTCATTTTAGAGGGGGAAGTGGTTTGTAGCACTTGATAGGTTTATAGAGCAAGGGTCAGCAAATGTTTTCTCTTCGGGTCAGAGTGTTCAAAATGATTGGCTTTCCAGGCCTCGTGGTCTCTGCCACAGCTGAGGCCTGCTGTCATTAGCACAGAAACAGCAGAGACAGTGCAGGTGAGCAGGCTGTGTTCCAATAAAGCTTTATGAGACAGGTGGCGGAGCTGTAGCTTGCCAAGCCCTGTTGTAGAGGATGGAGGCCATTCCTGCAGAGCGCGGAGCCCTGGACAAGCGGCAGCTGCAGGTCTTCCTGCTCTTAGCGGTGGCCGCCCTGCGGGGGTACCCAGCTGGTAGCGCCCAAGTCCGTTCTCACCGCCCAGTGCTGACCTCTGCGCTCGGCCTCCTCCTTGCTCTTGCCATAGCTGTACCTTTAGGACTTGGACTTCATGAGTTTCTTTCCATTGTTTGGGCTTTATTTTTCTCTATTTCTTTTTTTTTTTCCATTTCCATTATTAAGGGCTTCCCTTGTGGCTCAGCTGGTAAAGAATCCACCTGCAATGCAGGGGAGCTGGGTTCAATCCCTGGGTTGGGAAGATCCTCTGGAGAAGGGAAAGGCTGCCCAATCCAGTATTCTGGCCTGGAGAATTCCATGGACTGTATAGTCCCTGGGGTCGCAAAGAGTTGGACACGACTGAGCGACTTTCACTTTCACTTTCCATTATTTGTTTGTAAAGCACCTCTTAGTGCCAGATGCTGCATGGATGAGGGCATTACCATGGTGGGTACGGAGGTAGGGGGTGCCTGACTGACCCGCTGCCCTAAGGGTGCTGCGCTGTCCACAGGAGTCCCTTCTGGAAACTTAGGCTGAGAAGTGCCAGGCCAAGTCAGAGATGGGAGCCATCAGACCCCCAGGGCCTCTGACCCACCCTTTCTCTTCTGGCAGGGTATGACTTCGCAGCCGTCCTCGAGTGGTTCGCTGAGCGGGTGGACCGTATCATCCTGCTCTTCGACGCCCACAAGCTGGACATCTCCGATGAGTTCTCAGAGGTCATCAAGGCCCTCAAGAACCACGAGGACAAGATCCGCGTGGTGCTGAACAAGGCTGACCAGATCGAGACACAGCAGCTGATGCGGGTCTACGGGGCCCTCATGTGGTCCCTGGGGAAGATCATCAACACCCCCGAGGTGGTCCGGGTGTACATCGGCTCCTTCTGGTCCCACCCGCTCCTCATCCCTGACAACCGCAAGCTCTTCGAGGCCGAGGAGCAGGACCTCTTCAAAGACATCCAGTCTCTGCCCCGAAACGCCGCCCTCAGGAAGCTCAACGACCTCATCAAGCGGGCGCGGCTGGCCAAGGTAGACGTGGGGGGAGCGGCTGTGGGCCAGGGCGCTCTGGGGCAGCCGCTCAGGGCCCTGGGACTGGATGCCCCAGACTCGGCCCTGCATTCATTGCCCACACTGTGCCAAGCCTCGTCTGAATCTGTCCTCTTGTGCACCCGTGGGTGCAACCTCTTCCTCACTGAGATTCTTTTTAACACATAAACATCAAAACAAGAAGATGCTGCTCTACTGAGAGGCAGCCTAGGGAGTGGAGAGTGGGTGGGGGAGCCACTCGAGGCCTCATCGGCTGCCCCTCCCAGGCCTGCCGAGCGCTGAGTGCCTGCAGCACATGCCGGGTGCCGGGGATGCAGTGGGAACTGCCAGGTTCCCACTCTCCCAGCATTTGTCTGCCGCACGGGGGAGAGCAGAGGACGAAAAGAAAGCAGTTTATTTGTATTGTCTTGGTTGCTACGGAAGCGGGTGGCTAGGGAGCTGTCCTGAGGAGGGTGGACCAGACTGGGGGGACCTGGGCGGGAAGTGATGCTTCAGCTGGAACAGGAGGTAGTTCATGGAGAATTAGGGCGCAGGCCTGCGGGCCCAGGGAGACCACTGGCTGGCCTCCATCCCGGAGGCCTTGTAAACCATCCCTTCCCTCCATGGAAGCTCAGGGCCTGCTAGCATCTGCACACAGCATCTGAATTGCTCGAGTTTGGAGCCTCAGTGCCTTGCTGACCACTTCACAAGACTCCGTGGTCTGGGAAGGGAAGGTTAATGCTGCCAGTGGACCCTTCAGACATCGAGGAGCAGAGCATGTTCTCTTATGTGTCTGGGTTCACACACTCAGTCGCGTCCAACTCTTTGCGACCCTGTGGACTATTGCCCGCTCTTCTTGTCTGTCCATGGAATTTCCTAGGCAAGAAGACTAGAGTAGGTTGCCATTTCCTTCTCCAGGGGATCTTCCCACCCCAGGGATGGAAACCATGTCTCTTGAGTCTCTTGCTTTGGCAGGTGGACTCTTTACCACGGGATCAATGGCATGTTCCCTGAGGACATGTGATTTTGAATAATGCCGCATCGTCAGCATCTCCAGGGGCAGGCCCTGTCCTGGGAGAGCCGGGTAGCCCCCAGGCCGTGCTCCTGCTCCCACGGAGCTGACTGCCTGTGTGTAGCCCAGAGACTTTGGGGCTCTGTTGTGGGCCAAACACAGTGACTCAGGGCATCCACTGTCTGAGGCCTGAATTCAGGTAGCTCTGGATGCTCCCTGTCCCAAATAATGGGCAGTTGACCTTTCATCCTTCACCCCTTGGTTTGTCTCCATCCTGGTTACCCGGAGTGCCCCAGGACCAGTAGACTGAAGCTTGCTAGAAGCACAGGTTTCTAGGTCCTAGCTCTGCCCTACTGAACCGGAATCTGCACTTGGACACGGTCTCCTGTGACCTACTGTATGCTTAGTAAAGAGGGAGAACCCTGCCCTGGAGGACTCGGGCTGGACTAGAAGAACCCTGCCCTAGAGGACTCAGGGCTGCTCGGTTCTCTAGCTGTCTCACTTCTGGAACCTTCCTGATGAGTGAGCTGGTTCTGAGAAAGGAACCCATTAGAACATCCACGTAAGTGGCTCCTGGCCTCAAGGGACAAGTGGCGTCCTGAGCTGAGGAAGAGTGTGGTGAATGGAGGGGAGTGCTAGCTTCCTGTTTCCGGTCCAACTCCTGTTTGGTCGCAGGAAAGGACCACGCCACCGCCACCCCACCCTCCCCAGCCTCCAATCCAGCCAGGGCAGGGTTCTCTCCCAGCCTCTCAGGACAGAACGAGGGGCAGGCTTTAGGCCCCTGCCCGTTCATCTGCAGAGATGGTGTGTGATGGCGTGGCCCTCAGGCACATTGAGTCACCGTGCCTGGAAAGCCCCAGCCTCTCCAGTTTTGTCCTGCACCTGCTGTTGTGAGACTGTTTCCTTTTCCTGAACTGAGTTGCTCAGTCTCTGCTGGCCTGTAACGAGCAAAGCTGTGACTGTGACCCTGTGACCAACCTGCTTCCCTCGGCAGTTCTCAGCCAGGTTTCGACCCTGCGGGGAAGACAGGGTCAAGCCAGTGGAGGGGTTTTTCAGGGTGGAGTTGGCAGATCTGGGAGAAGAGGGCGTGAGGCTGGCTGGCCGCAGCCCTCCTTGCTGGATGCTGCTTGGCAAGGCGACAGGATTAGAGGGCTGTGCTCTGGCCAGGTTGCCAGTGTTACTGCCCACTGTAAGGAAGGGAGGGGTGTGCCACCCTAATTGGCAGGATGTATGTTAGGTATTGGCAGTATGAAAAGACAAAATGATACGATACTGAAAGAGGAACTCCCCAGGTCGGTAGGTGCCCAATATGCTACTGGAGATCAGTGGAGAAATAACTCCAGAAAGAATGAAGGGATGGAGCCAAGGCAAAAACAATACCCAGCTGTGGATATGACTGGTGATAGAAGCAAGGTCCAATGCTGTAAAGAGCAATATTACATAGGAACCTGGAATGTTAGGTCCATGAATCAAGGCAAATCAGAAGTGGTCAAACAGGAGATGGCAAGAGTGAATGTTGACATTCTAGGAATCAGCGAACTAAAATGGACTGGAATGGGTGAATTTAACTCAAATGACCATCATATCTACTACTGTGGGCAGGAATCCCTTAGAAGAAATGGAATAGCCATCATGGTCAACAAAAGAGTCTGAAATGCAGTACTTGGATGCAATCTCAAAAACGACAGAATAATTTCTGTTCGTTTCCAAGGTAAACCATTCAATATCACAGTAATCCAAGCCTATGCCCCAACCAGTAACGCTGAAGAAGCTGAAGTTGAACGGTTCTATCAAGACCTACAAGACCTTTTAGAACTAACACCCCCAAAAAGTCCTTTTTCACTATAGGGGACTGGAGTGCAAAAGTAGGAACTCAGGAAACACCTGGAGTAACAGGCAAATTTGGCCTTGGAGTATGGATTGAAGCAGGTCAAAGGCTAATAGAGTTTTGCCAAGAGAACACACTGGTCATAGTAAACACACTCTTCCAGTAACACAAGAGAGGACTCTACACATGGACATCACCAGATGGTCAACACCGAAATCAGATTGATTATATTCTTTGCAGCCAAAGATGGAGAAGCTGTATACAGTCAGCAAAAACAAGACCGGTGCTGACTGTGGCTCAGATGATGAACTCCTTATTGCCAAATTCAGACTTAAGTTGAAGAAAGTAGGGAAAACCACTAGACCACCCAGGTATGACCTAAATCAAATCCCTTATGACTATACAGTGGAAGTGAGAAATAGATTTAAGGGACTAGATCTGATAGACAGAGTGCCTGATGAACTATGGACAGAGGTTCATGACATTGTACAGGAGACAGGTATCAAGACCATCCCCATGGAAAAGAAATGCAAAAAGGCAAAATGGTTGAGGAGGCCTTACAATTAGCTGTGCAAAGAAGAGAAGCGAAAAGCAAAGGAGAAAAGGAGAGATATTCCCATTTGAATGCAGAGTTCCAAAGAATAGCAAGGAGAGATAAGAAAGCCTTCCTCAGCGATCAATGCAAAGAAATAGAGGGAAACAACAGAATGGGAAAGACTAGAGATCTCTTCAAGAAAATGGGTCAATAAAGGACAGAAATGGTATGTACCTAACAGAAGCAGAAGATATTAAGAAGAGGTGGCAAGAATACACAGAAGAACAGTACAAAAAAGATCTTCACGACCCAGATAATCAGGATGGTGTGATCACTCACCTAGAGCCAGAGATCCTGGAATGTGAAGTCAGGTGGGCCTTAGAAAGCATTACTACGAACAAAGCTAGTGGAGGTGATGGAATTCCAGTTGAGCTATTTCAAATCCTGAAGGATGCTGCTGTGAAAGTGCTGCACTCAATATGCCAGCAAATTTGGAAAACTCAGCAGTGGCCACAGGACTGGAAGAGGTCAGTTTTCATTCCAATACCAAAGAAAGGCAATCCCAAAGAATGTTCAAACTACGGCACAATTGCACTCATCTCACACGCTAGTAAAGTAATGCTCAAAATTCTCCAAGCCAGGCTTCAGCAATACGTGAACCATGAACTTCCATTTGTTCAAGCTGGTTTTAGAAAAGGCAGAGGAACCAGAGATCAAATTGCCAACATCCGCTGGATCATCGAAAAAGCAAGAGAATTCCAGAAAAACATCTATTTCTGCTTTATTGACTATGCCAAAGCCTTTGACTGTGTAGGTCACAGTAAACTGTGGAAAATTCTGAAAGAGATGGGAATACCAGACCACCTGACCTGCCTTTTGAGAAACCTATATGCAGGTCAGGAAGCAACAGTTAGAACTGGACATGGACCAACAGACTGGTTCCAAACAGGAAAAGAAGTATGTCAAGGCTGTATACTGTCACCCTGCTTATTTAACTTAGATGCAGCTTACATCATGAGAAACGCTGGGCTGGAAGAAGCACAAGCTGGAATCAAGATTGCTGGGAGAAATATCAATAACCTCAGATAGGCAGATGACACCACCCTTATGGCAGAAAGTGAAGAGGAACTAAAAGGCCTCTTGATGAAAGTGAAAGAGGAGAGTGAAAAAGTTGGCTTCAAGTTCAACACTCAGAAAACTAAGATCATGGCATCTGGTCCCATCACTTAATGGCAAATAGATGGGGAAACAGTGGAAGCAGTGTCAGACTTTATATTTTTGGGCTGCAAAATCACTGCAGATGGTGACTGCAGCCATGAAATTAAAAGACGCTTACTCCTTGGAAGGAAAGTTATGACCAACCTAGGTAGCATATTAAAAAGCAGAGATATTACTTTGCCAACAAAGGTCCATCTAGTCAAGGCTATGGTTTTTCCAGTGGTCATGTATGGATGTGAGAGAGTTGGACTGTGAAGAAAGCTGAGCATCGAAGAATTGACACTTTTGAACTGTGGTGTTGGAGAAGACTCTTGAGAGTTCCTTGGACTGCATGGAGATCCAACCAGTCCATCCTCAAGGAGATCAGTCCTGGGTGTTCATTGGAAGGACTGATGTTGAAGCTGAAACCCCAATACTTTGGCCACCTCATGTGAAGAGTTGACTCATTGGAAAAGACCCTGATGCTGGGAGGGATTGGGGGCAAGAGGAGGAGGGGACGACAGAGGATGAGATGGCTGGATGGCATCACCGACTTGATGGACATGAGTTTGAGTAAACTCCAGGAGTGGTGATGGACAGGGAGGCCTGGCATGCTGCGATTCATGGGGTTGCAAGGAGTCGGACACGACTGAGCAACTGAACTAATGTTAGATATACCTAACTAAGGTACTGAGTTTAGATAAAGCCTGAAACATTTAGGAATAGCCTTGTGGGAATTTTCTAATCCTTAGTCATCCCCTCAGCTGTCCTGATGATTATGCATAACTTGATCAGGCCACACCCTGAGAAGGTGTCCAGGAAGCACCTGACTCTGCCCCTTCCCTGTCTTCACAGGTCCACGCCTACATCATCAGCTCCCTCAAGAAGGAGATGCCCAATGTCTTTGGGAAGGAGAGCAAGAAGAAAGAGCTGGTGAACAACCTGGGTGAGATCTACCAGAAGATTGAGCGGGAGCATCAGATCTCCCCTGGTGACTTCCCCAACCTCCGCAAGATGCAGGTACGGCCACCCCCTTGTGCCCCGGGAGTGGGCTGGTGAGGATCGGAATGCGGAAGGCTCGGGGCACCGGGGCAGTGATTCTGGAGGGAACCCCAGCTCCACGGTGTGGGGCCTTCCACAGTGGAAGCAGCACCCCACCCAGTCGGAAGCTGACCTGGGGAGAGGTGGACCCAGGCCATGACACCTCACAGGGGAATGTGGTGACTCACCCAGAGGGGTAGGGAGAGGGTGGGGCTGTGCCAGGCACCCCAGCCTCCTCCCAATTAATTCTTGCCTCAGTCCTGCTAGGAAGGGACTGTTTTTACCTATGATTTAAGAGATGGGGGAGCCAAGATTGAAGTGGTTGGGGCCATGGAGCCAGCTCTTTTTGCTTGGGGACCCCTTGCTGCACCTGCAGCACCAGAGCCCGGGAGGGCCTGACCCAGGCCTGTCCGCCCTTCCCTGCCCCGACAGGAGCTCCTGCAGACCCAGGACTTCAGCAAATTCCAGGCCCTGAAGCCCAAGCTGCTGGACACAGTGGACGACATGCTGGCCAACGATATCGCCCGGCTAATGGTTATGGTGCGTCAGGAGGAGTCCCTGATGCCTGCCCAGGTCGTAAAGGGCGGTGCCTTCGACGGCACCATGAACGGGCCCTTTGGGCACGGCTACGGCGAGGGGGCCGGTGAGGGCATCGACGACGTCGAGTGGGTCGTGGGCAAGGACAAGCCCACCTACGACGAGATCTTCTACACGCTGTCGCCAGTCAACGGCAAGATCACGGGTGCCAACGCCAAGAAGGAGATGGTAAAGTCCAAGCTCCCCAACACAGTGCTGGGGAAGATCTGGAAGCTGGCCGACGTGGACCGGGACGGGCTGCTGGACGACGAGGAGTTCGCCCTGGCCAACCACCTCATCAAAGTCAAGCTGGAGGGCCACGAGCTGCCCGCCGACCTGCCCCCGCACCTGGTCCCGCCCTCCAAGCGGAGGCACGAGTGAGCGCCCCGCCGCCGGACTCCGGCACCTCAGTGCCCAGCCAGGCGGAGGCGGGGGGGGAGGGCCCACAGCTCCCAAGACCATAAAGACTGAGTGCTGTTTGCTCAGCTTGCAAAGGAGAACCACCATCTTTCTCTTAAGGCTGCTCCTGGGGAGGCAGGGGTGATACTCGTATGTGAATGATGGGATTTTGTGCATAAGAACTATGGATATTTTTAATATATAACGTTAGAGGCAGCGCTCTTTCTTGCCTCCTCCGTCTGGCAGCCCCATGCACGCAGGGCCTCTGTCCTCCCGTTCTCACCTCCCGAGGAGGGGGATCGCCCTGGCTTGCCCCTCCTGCAGCTGCGGCCTCTGTAGACAGGGACGCAGGGTCCCTGTTTGTTTCAGGCTGAGTCGCTCCGTCAGGCCAGTGGCTCCCTTCCCCGGCCAGCCCGGCCTCCGCCCGCGGTTCAGTTGGTTCTGTGCCTTCCTCCTTCCCTTCCCGAGGCCCTGCTGTCCGCAGGCCCTGCCCTTGCTCGCGCGTCCCTCTGACTTGGCATCACAGAAGCCAGGCCCAACTGCCCTTTTTGCAGGGAGTCCGGGGGCACAGGGCGGATGGGGTGGAGAATGTCTTCCAGAGAAATACGTAAGCTAGTTTTTCTTCTATAAAGTAACCCCTTTCATACTTGACTGAATTTTCCGGTAATTTCCGGCCACTTGTTCAGAAGCTGTGAGTTGTGTCTCCTTCCCCACACTCCGGAGACTCAGGAGCCACGGGAGGTGGGGTGCATGTGGCGCACACCCCGCCAGAGACCCCAGAGGCGGCGTCCCCTGCTTCATCCTCTCACTTTCCTGGAACATTCTGGCACCTCCCCGCCCCACTTTGGTGGGCGGCGGGTCCTCAGGAGCCTAGTGTGGCTCGGTGCTCCAGCCTGGGCCTGGCGGCCAGAGAGACCAGGGACGGTCCAGCCCTACCCTCTCCCACCTGCCTTCCTCCTAAGGACGGCTCCACTTGGACGCCCTTAGAAGGGCGCCCCTAGGCTGAGTAGCCCGAGCCCACCGGGGCCAGGGGACGTTCCCGTGGGCCAGCGGTTGGCCTCCAGGGCTGCGATCACAGAGCCCCTGTGGCAAGGGCAGCCGGCTTCCCACCGGCACCCCCTCAGGGGTCTCAGGGACTCCTTCACTCTGACCTCTGACCTCTGACCTGGCCCACCCTCCCAGTGCTGCTCTCTAGCCCTACACTGGGTCCGCGTCCCCAGGAACTGGCCTCCTTACCTGTAGCGGGCCTCGGCCCCCACCCCACACAGTGTCAGGAGGATGGAGGTGGCTGCCTTGTTGGGAATTCACTATTGGAAGTTTCAGAGGCTTAACCACGCTCGCCTGTGGGGAGATAAAGCAACTGAAGACACGACTTTTTTTCTTGCATTAAAAAAAGTTAAATTGTGCTGAAGCTGGCTTCTGGCTCTGAGATGTCCTTCCCAGGGCCTGCTCCCCACAGTGCCTGTCGGGGAGCTGGCAGAACAGCCAGGGGGTGGGGGCCAAGATACCAGCAGAGACAGATTGGCAAGCCCAGCTGGGTCAGGCCTGCAAATGGGGCCAACAACCCCCTTTCCTTGTGCTCGGTGGGGGCTGAGCAGGAATCGTTTATTTGGGGGAAAGATGGGGTGAAGAGGTTGGGAGAGCCTCTGATGCCTGGGGAATAGGCTTCCCTCGCCCCCAGGGGTTGGGGGAGCAGTTGCCCCCCCACCATGATCTTCACCACATCACCTCCAACCTGGGCTCCGCCCCAGCCGTGGACAGACAGGTGGGCGCCCACGGGCACCTGGGAGGGGGGAGGGGGACAAGCAGACACAGAATACTGGGCTCTGTGCTGGCCCCAGGGTCGTTTAGAGATAGGAAAGGCAGTACTTTGAAGGCAGACCAAGCAGATAACACCAGCAACAAAACTACAAAGGGTGGAGCCAGCCAACGTCACAGATAGGGGACTGTTTGTACCCGCAGAGGGGAGGGTGACAAATTGGAGCCGATGCCGAGGAAGTGCAGATTTGAGGTGCAATTGGGGTGGAATCCGCTTCAGGCACGTTTGTGGCAAGAAGCAGGATGTGAGCAGGTGCCTGTGGGTTTTGAGGGCCAGGCTGAGTACACCACTCAGAGGGTTGACCCTGATCCTCCTGACCTGGAAGGTCAGCATTCTCTGCATTTGACAGCCGAGAACCTGAGACTCAGGAGAGCTTGAAGAGCAAGTGTGGCGGGTCTGCCCAGCTCCAAGAGCATGCACACCACCGAGTTTCCAATAGAAATTATTCTTTAAGAGGAAAAGCAAAGCTGACAGGTCACTGCATCCCCCAAAGCCTGCAGCAGTAGATGCAGGCTTGAGAAACCCACCTTGAAGACTAAATGTCACTCAGGCCTAGGATCCTGAAAGCTTGGGGCAGCCCCTTGATTTCTAGTCACTTGAGAGGCGGAGATGCTTGTCCAAGCTATTAAAAAACAGGACTGACAGGTTCCCTTGTACCTTGAGTGTGAGAAGTGCTGTCTGGCCACCTGGGGGCTTCCACCCCTGCATGTCCCAGCCTGGGAATGCTGCTCTGAGGCTCGACCAGGGGCCAAGGGCAGCCCCAGAATTCATGCCTTGGTTTGGGTTTTACAGGTTGTGGGGGAGTTGGGGAGTCCTCTCCCAGCCATGATGGGGTTCAGGAGGGCCAACAGGTGTGGACTGAGGTGTGGCCACCCTCCAGGGAGGGCCAGCCTCCACCCTTTGCCTCCTCAGCTCCCTACCTGGCCAGGGTCCTGGGTGAAAGGCTACCTCTTCAGAGGCTGGACTGGGGTCAGGTCAGGGTTCCAGCTGCTGCCTAGCACTCCTGGAGTCAGAGACATTTGGGGCAGTCTGCCCACATGGTACCTCAGATCCCAGGGCTCCTGGAGAGGAAGGGGGTCCACTCACTGCCTCAGGGACCCACACAGCAGCTCTGTCTTATACCTGGAGGTTCCATGTGAGAGCAATAAACAGTTCTGCTCTTTAATAAAAAGATTAACCATGAATCCCATCCTGTTAGCTCATAGGGGCTGGTCTGAGGATGTGCCCAAGGCCACCCGACTGTGAGAGGGTTAGGCAGCCCACCCATCCATCCAGCACCTTAGGGCAGGAGTTCAAATCCCAGCTCTGCCACTTGCTGGGGCTCATCTGTCCTCTCCTCTCCCAGGTCTGTTTCTTCAGGCACTGAAGGCAGACAGTGACCCCTGCCTCTCCCATGGATACCTAACGAGTGGCCGCCTTCCTGAGCATCTCGGGGAGGCTGATGAGGGTGGGAGTGAGGGTGCAAGGAGCCCAACACCCCACCCAATTCCCAGAACAAAGCAGGCAGGACCCACCCTTCCCTGAAGCAGCTCCCAGACTTGGTGGCGTCCAAGGGCCAGAGGGGGTGGTGGCCGAGGGGGCTTGGGCCTGGCTTCCTGTGCGCCCAGAAGGATTGATAATTAGAAAACCACATGGGGCTGCAGCCGCTGTGGCTGTGGGGCGTGGGAGCCCCTATGGCGTGCAGGAGCAGCACAGAGAAGGTTTTTGGAAGAAAAGCCAGGATGATGAAATCACCATATGTCCACCCATTTGGAGCGTGGACGTTTCAAAGGATACACCCCTGTTGTGCTGGGGTGGGTGGGGGATTGGGCCTGTGAGGCTGCCAAGGACTTGCCTGGGGAATGGGGACCCTCAACCCCACCATCTGCATCACCCCCTCCCTCCAAGCCACCCTAGCAAACACACTATTTTTGTGGGGGGCCGGGTGTGTGTGGAGGCTTGTGGGATCTTAGTTCCACGACCAGGGATTGAACTCGTGCCATCGGCAGTGAAAGCCCAGAGTCCTAACCACTGGACCACCAGGAACACACACATTTAAGTAAAACCCAGAGTTCTGAGCCACTGTGAAACTCTACTGAGCTCCCAACCCTCCAACCACGTGTTCGTCCTAGAGAGACAAGCTCCAGCCGCCACTGGAGGGCGCTCCCAGTACCACTGACCGCCCATACCTGAGCTGGAGCCGTTCTCACTAGCGCGCAGAGACGGAGACTCAGAGAGATGGAAATCACTCCACAGTAGGCAGGGCTATAGGATCCCAAGGCTGCCCCTCCTTGTTCTCTGGCTCCTGGGCCAGGAGGGGGCGCTGCACTTCCGGCGCGGCCAAGGGCAGGGTTAGCTTGCCATTCTAGTTAACTGCAGGGCACCTGCTGAGAGGCTCTTCAGGGGGCAGGGCTGGGAGAGGCTCATCTCAGTCACCAAGCTGGACCTTGGCCTTGGGGAAAAGTGCCACAGATCAGGGTCGGGAGGCCTAAGAAGTGGGTGCGGGTGTGAGCCGGGAGCCTGCCTTGTGTCTGGGCCCCTCCCAGACCCAGAGGGCTATCCTCTGTGGGGGTCAGAAAACCGGGGTTCCCTGCCACTCATTTGCCTTCGTCCTCTTTGGGCCCCTCCCTTATCTGAACCGTCCCTTCTGCCAGGCCTGGGTCATTAAATAGACCGTTTCTAACCATCTAAGACCCTTCTCAGAAGCCTACGCCCATCAAGTCCAGTGCAGGCTGGCCTTTCCTTGTCCCCTCCCCAGAGTCTGAGTGCTACACACTGCCCTTCTGCTGCCAGGCACTGGCCTAGGCCTGGAACCCGGGTAAGGAGCGCCAGCCGCCACCCACCTCCCCAGCCTCAAGGTAGCAATCTGTTAGTGAGGGAGGGCATTGCTAACTCCCTCCTTCTGGCAGGACCCTAGTGAAGATAACAGATCTACATTCACTTTGAAATGCTAAGAAGCACCATAGGAATGCAAGGTCTGCTGCCCCCAGGGCTGAGTGAGAGCTAGTGCCAGCAACTCCATGCCAAGGGCACTCAGGGGAGAGAAGTTATTCGGGGAACAGGTGGCCCTGCAGTAGGCAGTGACCAGAGTGTCGGAGATGGCAGAGGTCTCCTGCTCAGACTCCCTCCTCCGTGGAGCACCCACCTGCTGGTCCAGTGTCCTTGCTACACACAGGGTCAGAGAACAGATCTGCTGGGCAAAGTGGGCCCACGTGCCAAAGCTATTTCTGACAGCAAGGGAGGATGCTGCTTGTCGAGGCCAGAAGAGGGGTTCAGACACAGAATGAGTCCTGAGGGGCATTCTGGCCTTACAGCTGCAAAGGAATGGGCAGGGTCAGACCCGACCCCCTTTCATGGACAAGAAAACTGAAGCTTGAAACAAGAATGTGACAAAAAAGCGAATGCAGGACCAAACAGAATCACATACCTGATGGGCGGGGAGTCCCCAGTGCCAGTCCCTGCTCTGCCCCTGGGAAGACCCCAGCAGAACTCAGTTTTTGCTGTCAGGGGCTCAGTTTTTCCCTCTGCTGTACTGTGGGGATGGAGTCTGATGTGCTGGGGGATGGACTTGTTTGAGAACTTGGCTTTCAGAGAGGCTAAAGGTCACAGAGGGAGTGAGCTAGATGCAGAGGCCTCACCTCACGCTGGCCCTTGAGTGCTGACCCCTGGGGCCATAGTGGGGGTGCAGGGATCAAGGTGTCCCAACGGGGCAGAGAAGGAACAGCCCATCTTCCACCAGGACCCTCGCCCTGTGTCTTCAGTTCAATTCAGTCGCTCAGTCGTGTCCGACTCTCTGCAACCCCATGGACTGCAGCACGCCAGGCTTCCCTGTCCATCACCAACTCCAGGAGCTTACTCAAACTCATGTCTATCGAGTTGATGATGCCATCGTCCCCTTCTCCTCCCGCCTTCAATCTTTCCCAGCATCAGGTCTTACTCCCCAGGAAATGGAACTTGGTCCTGTCCTGAGCACCGGGCCCTCCTCTGGTCTCTGGCTCCCCCCTGTGGCTACAGAGGGTGAGAACCCTCCCCGGGAGCCCTTCCTCGGCCCTGGCCTTTAAGGAAGCCTAGCCTGCCTCAGGTGAGAGCCAGGAGTGCTCAACACGGCCTCGGATCCTTGTCCCCTGCCCCCTCCCAGGAGACAAAGAGGCAATGACAGCATCCCCAGATTTGGGTTTGAATCCTGGCTTCCCTTCCCCCACCTGGCTGACTTGGGAGAGACAGACCGTTGCACAGACCTTGGCCCTGCCTCAGGGCAGGTCTCTGAGCAGAGCAAATGGGAGACTGTGAAGGAAGCCCCCTGTGTGCTACCAGGAATGTTCAGTCCAGCTCCACAGACCTTCACAGAGCGGCTCCCTGCTCAACACGGACAAATCAAGGAGGCAGGCAAATCTCCAAAGAGATCTTTTAAAGGAAGAATTTGTTGTCTGAAGCCACTAAAATGCCCCACCCCTTGATCCCTCCTCTTGGACAGCCCCATGTCCCCATGGCGTCTAGACCAGCCCAGCTGGAGACAGCTGGGCAGAAGTCAGAAATATCCCTGGACAGTCCGACCCTCCCCTCTCCCACCTCCTCCGGCCCAGCCTCGACCTCTCCTTGGCCCTCGTCCTTCCGTTCCAGGCGGGCCGCCCAAGCTTAAAAAGCCTATGGTGACAGTACCAGGCCAGCCCCCTCCAGGATCTAGCTTCGGAGCTTTCTCACCCCTCGGTCCCTCAATTCACCTTCGTCCTTCCCAAGCCTGTGCGTCATCTGCCACATGGGTGGAAGCATCCTTGCCTCACCTACCCGTCTCCCAGGTCGGCCGTAACGATGCAAACAAAATTTTGAAATCAGAAACTAGCCAGGGGGTAGGGGGACGGGGGGTGTGCCAAGAGGCCGGCATCCCAGGGAGGGAGCGGACTACAACTCCCATCCGGCTTCGGGGCAGCAGGCGTCCCCAGCCCCTCTCCCCTCGCTGAGAGGGCAGGCTCTCCGGAGAGGCTGCCCCTGCCCCAGGGGGCGAGGGGAGCTGCAGTGCCCTGGGCATCCCCCACCTAGGACAGGCGCCGGCGAGGGCCCCGGTGGGGCTGGGGCTGGGGCCGCGAGAGGACCCGGTTCCCGTCCGGGGTGCGATGGGACCCCCCCCGCCCTTACCCCTCTCCTGGCTCCGCCCCGCCCAGGAGTTACTCTTCGGGGCCCGCCCCCCCACTTCCTGGCCGGGAGCTGGCCCCGCCCCCGCGCGCCTCCGCCCTCCCACCTTCACCTCCAGTCCCGTCTCCCATTGGCCGGGGCACACCTGCCCGTCCGTCGGGGGGCGGGGCGGAGGGTGGGGAGCGGCGTCCAGGTGAGGGCGCGCGGGCGGCAGCGGAGGACGGTGACAGCGGGGAGGGCGGGAGGGTGGGGGGAGGACTCGCGGACCGACCCGCGCACTGATCGACGGACGGACAGACGGGCGGGCATGCGAGCGGCCCGACTCTAGCCCGGGCTCGGGGCTCCGGCCGCAGCCATGGAGCGGCGGCTGCGCGCGCTGGAGCGGCTGGCGCGGGGCGAGGCCGGCGGCGGCCCGGGGCTCGACGGCCTCCTGGATCTGCTGCTGGGGCTGCACCACGAGCTCAGCAGCGCCCCCCTGCGGCGGGAGCGCAATGTGGCGCAGTTCCTGAGCTGGGGTGAGTGGCCCGGGCGGGACCGTGGGGGGCGCAGGGGTGGGTGGACAGAGGGACACCGCGCAGGGAGCCTCTGCCTCCGTGCTCCCCGCTCGCAGGCCCTCCTGTGAGGAGCCGCACTCCCTCAGGTTCCCCCACCCAATCCCACGGAAGCTGCATTGGCCCTGATACGTGCCACTGAACCCCCATCCCCCGGCCCTCTCCTTCACCTGCGTTCTTCACCGTCATTCAGATTCACCCACACACTTAATCCCACTCCCAGAACCTGGCACGTGGGCCCCACACACATCACACACACAGAAACTTGGTGCCAGGTTTCTCCAGACACATGTACACAGCACACGCTCATACAGTCACCTCAGGACCCGTGAGCACACATTCTCACATGGAGACCCTTGTGCATGGGACCCACTGACACGTACGTTTTCTCTGGCTCCCACCTTCCACGGACGCACTGTCAGCTCCTGGAGGGACCCAGGGAGCCCTGCCGACCACCCCACCCACGCTGGCTCTGATACACACTTGTCTCTGTCCACTCACAACTCCGTAGCATCCCCCACTCCCACCACACACACACACACACACACACACACATTTCCACTTACCCACACACAGGACCACCCAAGACCGGGCACAGTCTCTGGCCTTAGACCCTTTGTGGGCAAGCAGCTGACCAGGCCTCCTGAGGCCTGTGCCCCAGGGCTGGGGAAGGGGGCCAGGCTGGAGGTGGGTCTGCACCCTTCCTGGGGTTGACTCACCTGAGTCACCAGGAGTGGCTGGCCCCGGATGACCCTGAAGCCAGTGCCAGCCCCCAGGGCTCTCTAGTTACACCTGGCTGGGCCACGGGGGAAGGCCATGGGGGCCTGGCTTGGAGGGTGGGGTGAGGTGAGTGTTTGCCCAGTGGGCGACTAGCATTCCTGGTATGCCTGAGCTCTGGGCAGGCGCGAGGCCGGCCTGGCACAGCGGGGGGCCTGTGAGACATGCCCCAGGCCTTCCTCTAGGCTGAGGGCGGTCAGAGGGCCCGCGGCTCTGCTGCCCGCCTCTCTCCCCGGGACTCCCGCATCTTGTGTGTGTGTGTCTGTCTGACCGTGTTGTCATCACCCCCATGATGCCCACGTGCTCCTCCCTGCCCGCCTCTGGCACCTCCGCCGTGGACCCCGGCGTGGGGGCCTGTCTGTTGACATCTCCTGAGGTAACTCACAGGGCGGTGACTCACTCTGCTCCTGCCTCAACTTGTCCCTGCTCCCGCCCAGAGCCCCCGTCCCTGCAGCGTGGCGAGGGGACTGGACAGCCTGTCCTGGGGGCCTGGGTCCTCCTGGCTCTGGGCCCCAGGCTTTAACTCCCATCTGGTCAATGGGGTAGCTGCCCCCACCTCGGGTTCCCCCTTGGAGGCCTGCAGCTGCTCCTCCCCAGCTATACACACAGACCCAGGAAAGAGACAATTTATTTCAGTAATGAGGTTTCCACACCACCCCTGCTGCGGGGGTTCTGCTTGATAAACCTGTGGAGCAGCTCTCTGTCCCACCCACAGACCTGCCCAGCTGGCAGGGAGTGTACCTGCTGGCAGGGGGAAACTGAGGCAGGGAGCCCAGACTGTAGCGCCCTTGACCCCAGCTGCTCCCCCTCACCTCCCTAAGTCTCCAGGCCCCAATTCCCCCCCCCCCCAAGGCATGGGGCTTCTCCAGGCCTGGGAAGGGCCAGGGAGTGGCTGGAGATGTCCTTTCAGGGAGTGTCTGGGGTGGTAAGGAGGAGGTGCTTGGCCAGATACAGGCCGCGTCCAGAGAGGGAGGCAGGGCTCAGAGTCATAGGGCTTCTCAGGCCTGGAGGAGATCCCGAGTGCTCACGCCCTCAGGTGCCAGCATCGGGTGCCAGAAAAGGTGTCTTGGCCCTGTTATTGAGTCTTGTGCGAACCCGGGCAGACCTCTCTGTGCCTCCAGACCAAGGAGGCCCCACTCGGGGAGCACAGAGCCTGCCCTCCCAGAGCCCCACAGAACCGTGCCCTACCTGCCCTCCAGGGCAGCCCCAGGCCTCACTCCACCCAGGTACCTCTGTGCCTACGAGGGACCCACAGCTCCTCGGTGGCATAGAAGCCTCTCTGGGGACAAGGAATGTTGCCAGTCCAGTTTCCCAAGACAGGCTCTGGCCTGGTCCTGCTCAGGGGCCAAGGACTGCAGGCTGGGGGTGGGAATGGTATCCCCATCATTCCAGGGTGACCTGGCCCTCCAGGGTCAGCCCCCAGGCAGGGGAGGACTACAAATCCCATCAGCCCCTGGGACAGATGCCACCTGGGAACCATGGATTCAGGGAGATCCAGGGGCCAGGTGGTCAGCAGAGCCAGCACGCCATCTTGCGTGCTTCCTGATCGTGGCTGAATGGGCTGCAGCTCCTGTCAACCCCTTGGCCAGAGGCCATCGCTGGGGAGGTCATCCCTGCCCTGGCCTCGTGGGAGGGCAGATGAGAGGGAGCCGGGCCTCCGCACAGGCTCTCTGAGCCCCCTCTGTGCCCTCAGTCAGTCCCTTCGTAGCGAAGGTGAAAGAGCTGCGGCTGCAGAGAGATGACTTTGAGATCTTGAAGGTGATCGGCCGAGGGGCCTTCGGGGAGGTGAGCAGATGTCCCTGGAGTCGGTGGGGGGAGGAAAAAGGTGTTTGCCCCCAGACCGGCGTGACCCCAGTGCTCTCTGTGGCCTCAGGTTGCTGTGGTGAGGCAGAGGGACAGTGGGCAGATTTTTGCCATGAAAATGCTGCACAAGTGGGAGATGCTGAAGCGGGCTGAGGTCAGTGCTGGGTTCCAGGGGGACTTGGGGTCCCTGCAGAGGGGAGTCTACAGGCCTCTGAGACCTGCAGGGGAAGTGGCCGGGCATGGCTGCCAAACAGGCAGAGGATCCACCCCCAGCAGCACGGGTTCCTCCCATCCCTTCCGCACAAGAAGCCTTTCTTAGTAAAAGCACTGTTGTTCTGTTTTTCTTATGATAACACCGAGGCTCAGGCTAACACAGGCGACCTTGATCCCCGTTCCTAGCCTTACTGAGTCTTCCTCCATCCCCTGAACTGGCAAGGTGGGGTTCGTGGGCTGATTCCAACCCCACCCACCCCCTATTCCCCCAAACTGTTACAGACGGCCTGTTTCCGGGAGGAACGGGATGTTCTGGTGAAGGGGGACAGCCGCTGGGTGACTGCTCTGCATTATGCTTTCCAAGATGAGGAGTATCTGGTGAGGATGCTCAGAAAGCTGGATGGGGGGTGGTGGTTGTTCACTCACTCAGTCGTGTCCGACTCTGCGACCCCATGGACTGCAGCACACCAGGCTTCCCTGTCCTTCACTAGCTCCCGGGGTTTGCTCAGACTCATGTCCTTTGAGTCAGTGATGCCATCCCTGGGGACAAAGGAGAAGACCTTTGGGGGCCAGAAGCCTTGATTCAAGGAGAGAGAGACCCCTCCTCCTGGGTCCGGGAAGTTTTTACTCCCCACCAGCTCAGGCCTGGAGCCTCTCACCTGAGCCTTGGCTGGGAGCTGGCCGCCCCAGAGCTGCTGGGAGACATGGCCCTGCCTTTCCAGAGCCCTGCAGGACCCCTGTGAGGTGCATGGGAGACAGGTGACCCCCATCTGATTCTTGCCCCCCACCCACCACTGTCTAGTACCTGGTGATGGATTACTACGCTGGAGGGGACCTCCTTACTCTGCTGAGCCGCTTTGAAGACCGCCTCCCGCCCGAGCTGGCGCAGTTCTACCTGGCTGAGATGGTGTTGGCCATCCACTCACTGCATCAGTTGGGCTACGTCCACAGGTGGGGCCCCCAAAGTCCCTGCTGTCTTTGCCAGCCCCTGTTGACAGCTCTGGGGAAAGCTGAGCACATATATGCCAAATCCTGTACTGGGTGCTTCATATGCAGAGAACCTGTGACTCTTCCCACCCCAAACGTTCTGTCATGGGAGCTACCCTCATCCCATTTTATAGATGAGGAAATCAGGACTTAGCATAGGTAAGCATCCAACTTTCGGTGACTCAGCCACTCGGACACTGGGGGAGTCTAGCTTCTTTGTCCCCCACGGCACACTCAGCTGCCTCCAAGGGTCCTCTCCCCAACTTAACCACCGTCTTCCTTCTTGGGAGCCAGGAGGCCGGACCACCATCCTTCCCCGCTTCACACGCCAGCACATGCGGGAACACAAAGTGTGTGCATACACACACTGGAGTGTGCACATGCACGCACTCACACACCCGGGAATGTGCCTAAATGCATATCCATACTCACAGATTACTCTCCCTGCCCTCCCCCAGGGATGTCAAGCCAGACAATATCCTGCTGGACATGAACGGGCACATCCGCTTGGCCGACTTTGGCTCCTGCCTACGTCTCAACAACAGTGGCATGGTAAGAGCCCCGCCTCATGTGGGACAGAGGACACCTGGCTGGGAGAGCTCCCAGGGGAATGGGAGCCACCAGGCCTGGTGCAAGCAGCATGAGACTCCCAGGGGAAGGAAGGGCTAAGCCCAGGACCTAGGTGGGGGCACTGGGCCAGTCAAGCCCTAGGGAATGGGGGAGCTGGGCCCAGACGTGAGGCCGTCTTTGTGGCGCCATCAATATCACCACCCACAGGTGGACTCATCGGTGGCAGTGGGGACACCCGACTACATCTCCCCTGAGATCCTGCAGGCCATGGAGGAGGGCAAGGGCCACTACGGCCCACAGTGCGACTGGTGGTCCCTGGGGGTCTGTGCCTACGAGCTGCTCTTCGGGGAGACGCCCTTCTATGCTGAATCTCTGGTGGAAACCTACGGCAAGATCATGAACCACGAGGTCTGGCTGCCAGGCCCTGGGATTCTGGGACGGCCGAGGGACTCCTGAGGCTGTGAGGTTGGAGATGCCCTGGGTGGGGGTAGCATTCTGGACACTCACCTGCACCCGTCCCCCGGGACCCCAGGACCACCTGCAGTTCCCCCCAGACGTGCCCGATGTGCCGGCCAGTGCCCGAGACCTGATCCGCCAGCTGCTGTGCTGCCAGGAGGAGCGTCTGGGCCGCGGAGGGCTGGACGACTTCCGGAACCACCCCTTCTTTGAAGGCGTGGACTGGGAGAGGCTGGCCACCTGCACTGCCCCGTACATCCCCGAGCTTCGCGGACCCATGGACACCTCCAACTTCGATGTGGATGATGACACCCTCAACCATCCAGTGAGTGGAGGGACCCACAGCAGCAGGACAACTGCCTGGAGTCTCAGTGTCTGCGGGACCCTCCCCTGCCCCTCCAAGTTCCCCAAAGCAATTGCTGGGCTGGGGATGGAGGCCCGTGGGAGTTACGGTTCACCTGGGCTGGTTCATCTGCACTGAAGTGGGTTGTGCCAAGGGAAGGATCATTGACCACAAGTGTCATCCTGTCAACCAGACATCCTGTAAGAAGACTCCCAGCAGCACCTGTGTGGCCAGAACCTCAAAGACTTGTGGGAGTTGTAGTCTTTTGAGGGCTCCTGGGTCTCGAGTCTCCACCTGGAGCTGTATTCTTACTCTGACTATCCTTCCCCACTTTCTGCAGGGAACCCTGCCGCCACCCTCCCACGGGACTTTCTTAGGTCACCACCTGCCATTCGTGGGCTTCACCTACACCTCAGGCAGGTGAGTAGTCCTCACACACCTGGTGGGAAGCTGAGGGCTGCCTGGCCTGGAGAACACTTGGAGCACAGCTCATTAGGACCCCGGGAAAGGGACTGAATGGCTCACCTGTATCCACATGAGACAGATGCTTGGGAAGTTTGCTCTGAGCCCCCAGTAGGACAACCCTTCATGTCCTCAAGTTCCTGGTGAGGCCATGACCCCTACCCTATGGGTTCTGCCCCAATATTTATTCCTTATGGGACCCTTCATGACAGGCTGGGTGTGTAGTGGACTCTGAGCTAGAGATCTAGTACTGCTCCCCGAGCTTCACTTTGTACCTCTGTAAAATGGGTAGATGCTCCCAGCCCAGTTCTGCTTGTAGGGCTGGCATGAGACTGCAGCAAAGCCCTGGGGGAGTGGGAACTGTGAAGTATAAGCAGATGCCTCTGACCTTTATTCATAGAGTGCTCCCTATGTCCTGGGCCCATATCACTGAGTCCTCTTGACAGCCCTTGCGAGAGCCCCTAGCATCACCTCCCTTTTCCTCTGGGGAAACTGAGACCCTGAGAAACTGGGAAACTGAGACCTTGGGAAACTGAGATATATTAGGTTATTGTTCAAGATCACACAAACAACAAGGGTCAGGGCTGTGGAACCAGCGCCCAGGGGACTCTGGAACCATTGTCCTGGCCGCCACCCGTGGCACCTGCCTGGGGCCTCCTAAGGGCAAGGTGTGGTCTCATCTGTCTCTCTTCAGCCCAAAGCCCAGACTTGGGTACAGAGCTGGTGCGCACTGGGCATTTCTTAGATGAATGAATGCTGGATGCCGAAGGATGGAGGAGGCTGGGGGGATGGTTCTCTGCCAATTTGTGTTGCCCTGCTCTCCCCAGTCCCGGCCCCGAGAGCAGCTCTGAGCAGTTGGCTCCCCTAGAGCGGAAGCTCCGCTGTCTGGAGCAGGAGAAGCTGGAGCTGAGCCGGAAGCTCCAAGGTATGGGTGCCATCAGGGCCAGGGCAGGGTGGGTCTGCCCCCGGGGCTGCTGCCGCAGGACAAGCTCCTCAACATTATGGGTGCCCCACACTGCAGAGGCTCTGCAGAGCCCCTCGGACCATCGGGAGCTGGAGCAGCTGCGGAAGGAAGTGCAGGCTCTGCAGGACAGGCTGTCAGGTACCCCGCCCCCAGCACCTCGTCTTTTCCCCTCCCCTCATCTTGGGGGCTGAGCTGGTTTCCCAGCACACCTGAGTCCAACCTGGGTTCCAGTCGTGTCCCTGGGTCTGTACGTGCTGTGTGATCTAAAGGAAATATCTTAAACTCTCTGACTCTGCATATAGAAAATGGACCAAGGAAATCGACGCCCACCCCCAGCCCCCAACCCCTGCCTCTAACCAAGCTGGGGTAAGGGTTCCATGAGACACTGCAGGTAGAGCTCCTGGCTGAGGCTGTACCTGCAGGTCTCAGTGACAATTCCTGGCAGGGACGCTGGGGGACAGCAAGGCGGACGGGTGTCCGACTGGCAGCCCAAGCCAGGACAGTGACCTGCGGCAGGAGAGAAATCAGCTCCTCCAGGTGGGGCGTGGTGAGATGGGTGAGTAGCCCAGGGCTGGGTGCTAAGGAGGACCATGCCCTGACTTCTGGCTGGCCTTCCCCTCGCCCACCTGGACCCCAGGAGCTGGCTGAGGCTCGGGCGGGGCAGCAGGCACAGGCACGGGAGCTTCGAGAGACCAAGGGGTGGCAGGAGGAGCTGCTCCAGAAGCTGCAGGAGGCCCAGGAGAGAGAGGCAGCCATGGCCAGCCAGACCCAAGCCCTGAACTCCCAGCTGGAGGAAGCCCGCGATGCCCAGAGCCAGGTGAGTGATGGGGTGGGTGGGGACAGCAACAGTGCCCTGCCCTCGTGACACCTGGTGTGGTGGGAGGAAGATTGGGGAGCGAGGTTTGAGCTGCTGGGAACACCAAATGCCTTGCACGCCCACTGTGGCTGGCTGAGGCCTGAGCAAGGGAGCAGGTGGGGTGGGCAGGGGTCCACCACTTCCCCTCCTGCTGCAGCCAGCAAAGCCCGAGAATCTGGAGCAAGGTCAAGAGTTAGCGGGGACAGGGACTTCCCTGGTGGTCTAGTGCTTATGACCACGCTTCCAACGCAGGGGGCGCAGGTTCAATCCCTGGTCAGGGAACTAAGATCCCACATGCTGTGGGGAGGTGCCACACTCAGAAAAAACAGAGTTGGGGTGGACGAGGTCAGCACTGGCTGACTCTGCACCCCATCCCAGCTGCAAGCTCAGGTGGCCGCCCTGAAGCGAGATGTGACTCAGCTCCAGAGACAGCGGGAACAAAGCCTGGAGAAGGCGTCTCCCCAGGTCAAGGTGATGAGGCCTTACCCTCTGCCCAGTGGCATTTCTCTTAGCCTGACCCCATTCAGGGTCTATCAGGGCCAGGCCCCAGGGGTAGGGTAGGTCATGGCATCTTGGACCCCTGCCCTGACCCCTCTCTGCGTCCTCTAGACCGTCCACACCACCTCTGAGACCAATGGCACGGGATCGCCTGAGGGTGGCGGGCCCCAGGAGACACAGCTGAAGCAGGAGGTGGCCGCGCTGCGTGCACAGCTGGAGCAGGCCCGTGGCCAGGGGTGAGCTGGGCAGCCGGGGCAGGGGACAGGGTGGGGGCCTGAGCCAGGGGGTCACCCAGTCCTCTTTCTCCCCTGCAGGCCGAGCAGCAAGGAGGAGGCGCTGTGCCGGCTGCAGGAGGAGAACCGGCGGCTGAGCCAAGAGCAGGAGCGGGTGAGCGGGGCAGACAGAGGGTCGGAGAGACCCGCAAGTGGCGGGACAGGCGGGGAGCCGGCTGGGCGGGTGAGCAGAGCTGCCAGGGATGTGGGCCAGATGGGGTGGGTGAGCCAGGCTGGACATGGGCAGGCTCAGGGCTGCTGGAGCCCCTGGGGGCTGATCCCCGCTTCCCACGTGATGCGTCTGTCTCCTTCCCTCCCAGCTCATGGAAGAGCTGGAGCGGGAACAGCAGAGCAAGCAGAGGCTGGAAGGTGAGCAGCGGGAGACGGAGAGCAACTGGGAGGCCCAGATTGCCGACATCCTCAGCTGGTGGGTGCCCAGGGCCCGGGGGCAGGGGCTGAGCCCAGGCAGCGCTGAGGGCATAGCCTCTGGCCCTGAGAGCATAGCCTCTGATCCTGAGCCCCCTTCCTGATCAGGGTGAATGATGAGAAGGTGTCAAGAGGCTACCTGCAGGCACTGGCCACCAAGATGGCTGAGGAACTGGAATCCTTGCGGAACGTGGGCACCCAGACTCTCCCTTCCCGGCCGCTGGTGAGCCCCGGGGACACCCGGGGGGAGGGGTGCCGGGAGCCGCACTCCTCAGGTAGGGACACTGAGCTCATGGAAAGTCAGGAACTTGCCTGAGCTCCCCCCAGGCATGCAGCAGAGGCGGGGCTTTGAGCCTGGCCAGGTGGTGTGGTGGGAGGTGGGGGGCCTGGACGGCAACCTGGCCCTGGGGGCATTGCACGTTGATGCCCCCTGGCCATCAGGACCACCAGTGGAAGGCACGGAGGCTGCAGAAGATGGAGGCGTCAGCCAGGCTGGAGCTGCAGTCAGCGCTGGAGGCCGAGATCCGGGCCAAGCAAGGTCTGCAGGAGCGGCTGACTCAGGCACAGGAGGCCCAGCTGCGGGCTGAGAGGTGAGGGCAGGGGCCGGCGCGGCGAGGGGCCCAGAACGCAGGTGGTGGCCTGTGGCGAGCCCTCAGGCCTGTGGCGAGCACCCACGTGGTTCTCCCCAGCCGTCTGCAGGAGGCCGAGAAGAGGCACCAGGCCTTGCAGCAGGAGCTGGCGGCGCTGCGGGAGGAGCTGCGGGCGCGTGGGCCAGCGGGTGAGTAGCCGTGCGCAGGCCTGTCTGTCCCGGAGCAAGACCTCCTCTCCAGGTCACCAGGGGGATCAGCCGGGCCGAGGAGACAAGACTCTGTTCCAGACTCTGCTGCCTAATCTGCTGTTAGCTAGTGCTCACTGAGCCCCCACTGTAGGCCACCACCGCCTCCTTCCCCGCCTGCAGTGAGGTGGAAACTGAGGCCCCCACCCTGGCCCCTGGTTTCTAAGAAACAAGTGTTAAGGGCGGGGGGGCTCCCTGGTCCCCGTGACACATGCTCTCTGTTTGCAGACACCAAGCCTTCAAACTCCCTGATTCCCTTCCTGTCCTTCCGGAGCTCAGAGGTAAGAATGGGTGTGGGGCTGGCCGGGGAGGACCCCCGGAAAGGACACAGGCGCGGCCTTGATGCTGCCCCCATGCCATTCCCCAGAAGGATTCCGCCAGAGATGCGGGCACCTCCGGAGAGGTGCCGGAGCTGAGGCCGGAGGGCCGCCGCAGCCTGCGGCTGGGGGTGAGCACAGACAGGAGACCAGCGGCGGGGTGGGGGGGGCTGGGCTGGGCCCCACCCTCCCCCTGTGCTCAGCTCACCTCTTTGCTCCCTTCCATGCAGGCTGTGTTCCCCAGGATGCCTGCTGCCACCACACCCCCTGCAGAAAGTCCCCCTGCAAAGGTCAGTGCCCAGCGGGGCGGGGCAGGGGCACCAAGCCATTCTGCCAGGTTTATGAGCTCCCGCTTGGGGTTCCCCCCACCTCCGACCCCGTGCCGGCAGACCATGATGGGAATGGTGACGGTGGCACTGAGTTTTGAGTACGACCAGATCCCCTCGGAGCGCAGAGTTCACACTGCCACCTGGCTTGTTCAGTGGTCTTGCCTGAACCTTGGGGTGGCCTTCGGGGCCAGGTGGGGGACTTGGGGGCCTTGGGTTAAGGTCAGGCCTGGGTAATGGGCCTTTCCCCCTCGCCAGCCCGGCTCACACGCGCTGCGTCCCCGAAGCTTCCCATCCCCCACCAAGTGTCTCCGTTGCACCTCGCTGATGCTGGGCCTGGGCCGCCAGGGCCTGGGCTGTGACGGTGAGACCCTCAGCCCCTCTGCTCACCGGCCTCCCCTGTGCCAGCCACAGCCCCCCGGGTGCGGGGAGGGGGAGCGGCCCCCATCCTGCCGCACCAGGCGCCCCCCCGCCTCATCAACATTTCCCACTGCTGCTCAGTCTTCTTTTTCTTTTCTCCCTTCACGGGGAACTGGCGACGGCTCGGGGCGGTGACCGCCTGAGGGGTGCTGGGCTGGGGCTGCCCGGGGTCCCCGCTCCCCGGCGGTCCCCCACCCGCCTCACGCCACCTCCTGCTTTCCCCACAGTCTGCGGCTACTTCTGTCACCCGACTTGTGCCCCACAGGCCCCCCCCTGCCCTGTGCCCCCTGACTTCCTCCACACAGCCCTGGGAGTGCACCCCGAAACGGGCACGGGCACCGCCTACGAGGGCTTCCTGTCGGTGAGCCGGCGCTGGGGGAGGGGCGGGCGGGCAGCCTGGGGGCCGGGGCCTGGTGGGACCTCCGTGCCTGCCTACCTTCCCCCAGGTGCCACGGCCCTCGGGTGTCCGGCGGGGCTGGCAGCGGGTGTTCGCCGCCCTCAGCGACTCGCGCCTGCTGCTTTTTGATGCCCCAGACCCGAAGCTCAGCCCAGCCAGCGGGGCCCTCCTGCAGGCTCTGGATCTGAGGTGGGTGCCAGGCTGTAGTTGGGGGCAGGGGTCGGGGGGTGAGTGGGTCGAGGGGGCGGCAGACCTCTGACCTGCTCTGTGAACCTCCCAGGGACCCCCAGTTCTCAGCCGCCCCTGTCCTGGCCCCTGATGTTATCCACGCCCAATCCAAGGACCTGCCTCGCATCTTTAGGGTGAGTTCAGGGATGGGATGGGCCAGACCTCTGTCTGCCTCTGTGCTGGGCCCACTCCAGCTGCCTTCTCCATCGCCATGGCTGCCCCCTTCATCCTGCACCCCATGCCTGCATTCCTGTCTGTGTGGCTACACTTTGCCCTGCAGTGCAGAACTTCCCACACATGAAGCTGACTGTGCCCGGCCTTGTTTAGGGCCCTTTGGTGGCTCCCCATTGCCCTCAGGGTGCTCCTAACCGTAGCCTCGCAGCCCCACATTTCGGACCCTGCCGGCTCCCTGCCCCCCCCGACTCTGAACACTCCTGGTTACTCCACTCGTCCCCCAGGCTCCAGCAGAAACGTCTCTTCCCCTGGGAGTTCGTCTCTCACGCTTAGCCTGGGTGAGCGGGCCCCACCCTGTGTTCCCGCAAGGCCCTGTCCTGCCCTCTCGGTGGGCCTGGTCCCAGGGCTCTGGAGTTGTCCCCGTGCTTGTGTGACCACCCCGCCTGGCTTATCACCTGCTGCCAGACAGTGCCCGACAGTGCGCTGGGCAGGCCCAGCTGGTGCTACAGGGCATCAGCGATGGACAGAGGACGGGAGGAAGGAGAGCTGGCTCCCGGCGCTCTGCCCTCCAGCCTGCGTTCCCCCCCGACCCACCCGTAGGTGACGGCCTCCCAGCTGACCGTGCCGCCCGCCACGTGCACCGTGCTGCTGCTGGCGGACAGCGAGGGCGAGCGGGAGCGCTGGCTGCAGGTGCTGGGTGAGCTGCAGCGGCTGCTGCTGGACGCGCGGCCCCGGCCCCGGCCTGTGTACACCCTGAAGGAGGCCTACGACAACGGGCTGCCGCTGCTGCCCCACGCGCTCTGCGCCGCCGTCGTCGGTGAGCCTCAAGCGGGGGGGCGCTGGCCTGCCGCAGTCACTCGGGCCGCGGTCACTGCCCGGTCCCTGCTGCCCTGGGCTGTGGACCCTCTTGCACACATGTCCTCCTCGCCACTCCTCTGGGCATGGCTGGGAGGGACCTGGGCTGGGGTGGGACGCCTAGTTTCTGACACTTTCTGCATCTCCCTTTCTGCTTAAGATCTCAAGTGAGTGGAAAGAGCCAAGGCTTTAGTAAGAGATAAAGGAGGTTCCCCTCCAGGCTCTTAGCAGCCGCCAGGTGACAGGGCAGCCTCACACTGTCCGCTGTGGGGCTGCTGCGTTCACCCGGAGCCTCGTACACAGCGGGGCCTCTGCACCAGACCGCTGGGCAACAGGAGAAGAGGCTCCCTGGCTGCCCCCAGCAGCTGGGGCTGGGGCTTCTCCCTGCCGTCACGCAGGACGGAGCCACGGGAGACAGGCCCTGCGTCCTCCAAGTCCCCTGTGTCAGCCTGGAGCCAGGGGACAAGGGCATTTATTTAGCAGAGGTGGCTGTGAGCTTAATGCTCACCCTGTGATGCTTCATCTCTTTGCAGCCTCATAGCAGCTCTGTGAGAAAGGTACCATTATCAGCCCCATTTTACCAAGGCTGCGAGAGATGACGTGACTTACCCCCAGATCCCACAGCTCAGGGTGGGAGAGGCCTCTCATCCTGACTCCTGGCCCCGGGGCACTTCCCCATTAGCACCAGCCTGGACTCGGGGACAGAAGGGTCCAGGGACAGTGGGATTGTCAGTGGGATTGTCCTCTCCGAGTCCTTGGCAGGGGCAGGCAGACTGCCCAATCTCCTGCCTCTTTGGATGGGCCTTCTGATCCCTGACCCTCTCCCTCCCTCCACCAGACCAGGAACGCCTTGCTCTGGGCACTGAGGAAGGGCTGTTTGTGATCCATCTGCACAGTAACGGTACCCGCCGGGCGGGCCAGGGTGGGCGTGGGTGGGATCAGCCCTCAGGGACAGAGGAGGCTGGGCCCCGGGTGCTCCTCACCCACCTGCTGGTGACACTCTCCCTCGCCAACCCCGCAGACATCTTCCAGGTGGGCGAGTGCCGGCGGGTGCAGCGGCTGGCCGTGAGCCCCGCTGCGGGCCTTCTGGTCGCACTGTGTGGCCGAGGCCCCAGCGTGCGCCTCTTTGCCCTGGCAGAGCTGGAGAACGTGGAGGCGGCCGGCACCAAGATCCCCGAGTCACGAGGCTGCCAGGCCCTGGCGGCCGGGCGCATCCTGCAGGCCCGCACCCCCGTGCTCTGCGTTGCGGTCAGGCGCCAGGTGCTCTGCTACCAGCTGGGCCCAGGCCCGGGGCCCTGGCAGCGCCGCATCCGTGAGCTGCAGGCACCAGCACCCGTGCAGAGCCTGGGGCTGCTGGGCGATCGGCTGTGCGTGGGCGCGGCTGGCACCTTCGCCCTCTACCCGCTGCTCAACGAGGCAGCGCCCTTAGCGCTGGGGGCCGGTCTTGTGCCTGAGGAGCTGCCCCCGTCCCGCGGGGGCCTGGGTGAGGCCCTGGGCGCCGTGGAGCTCAGCCTCAGTGAGTTCCTGCTGCTCTTCACCACCGCCGGGGTCTACGTGGACAGCACCGGCCGCAAGTCTCGCATGCAAGAGCTGCTGTGGCCAGCAGCACCCACGGGCTGGGGTGAGGCCTGTGGAGGGGCAGGCTGGGTGGGGCCTGGTATCGGAGGAAGATAGGGTCCTGCCCAAATTCCTGAGCTTGGATTTGGAGGCCAGTATGTGCCCTCCTGCCTGACACACCCTTGGTGGCTGGTATGGGATCTTCCTTCCTTCATCTTCCTCTTGCACGGGACCTTGCTTTCATTCAAGCTCTTCCCCTGCCTGAACTACTGTCCTTTTTGTAACGGGCCACCTTTTCAGTTTGCAAGTCCAGCCCCAAGGTCGAGAGCTAGTGGGCCCTCCATAAATGACCCCCGTGATTGCTGTCAGTTTCATTACCGCTTTTACACTCCTCCCCCCCGCCCCACATTGGTCCTTTGCTACTTTTTGCTCCCCCACCTTCATTCAGATCTCTGCCCTGACTCTCAGCACCTTCTTATTACAATGACTGGTTTGGTACATGGGGGGGCCTGCAAATGCTTCATCACATCCAGCACGCAGCCCAGGCAAGCATCCCCCAGGAGCTATAATGTTTGGAGGAATGAATGAGTGAACAGGGCAGCAGGGGAGACTCAAACGTCCACAGGTAGCTGATGTGTTGGGCTACAGGCTGGAAGAGAGGGACAATGCTCCTTTCACAGTCGCCCTTCTGGGGTGGGGCTTGCAGGTTGGGTGTAGCACAGACACTGTGTGTAGGCGTTGGATCCAGACTGCCCGGGGCCAGTTCCCAGCTCTCACTCACCACAAAGTGAGACTTAGCTCTGGGGTTTCCGTCATCTGTAAGTTAGGGACGATAACATTACCTGCCTAGAGTTGTTTGAGAATTAAAGGAGGAAAAATACACCACATGGTTACAGGCGGGCCTGACATGGCTTCGAGTGCGTGCTCCCTGTTGGTTCTCTCTGACTTGCTGTGGAGCGTGGGTGGGGCAACCCAGAAGTTACAGGCTGTGAGTGCACAGGGTGTGCCCTAGGATACAGCCCAGAGAGGTGCCTGACTTGCCTGGGGCCACACAGCACAGTGTCCCACCCTGGTTATGCAGGTTATGCAGCCCCCTACCTGACAGTGTTCAGCGAGAATGCCATCGATGTGTTCGATGTGAGGAGGGCAGAATGGGTCCAGACCGTGCCACTCAAGAAGGTGAGTGCGGGGATTTCCCTGATAGTCCAGTAGCTAAGACTCTGCGCTCCCAATGCAGGAAGCCTGGGTTCAATCCCTAGTCAGGGAACTAGATCCCACGTGCTGTAGCTAATTCATTTCACTGTATGACAAAAACCACTGCAATGATGTAAAGTAATTAGCCTCCAACTAATAAAAATAAATGAAAAAAAAAAAAAGAATCTATGACTCCAAAAAGTTAAAAAATAAATAAATAAATGGAAAAGGAAGAAAAAAAAAAAGATCCAATGCAGTGAAATAAATTAATTAAAATTTTAAAAGTGAGGCCTGCCCAGGCCCCTGGGGCTGGACTGGGCTGCAGTTGGATAACGTGGTGTGACCTCTGTGCCTGCTGCCTCAGGTGCGACCCCTGAACCCAGAGGGCTCCCTGTTCCTCTTTGGTACCGAGAAGGTCCGCCTGACCTACCTCCGGAACCCGCTGGCAGGTGAGGGAGTGTGGGGGTGGGAGGAAGGGGTTGTGACCCTGAGCACCAGCTGACTGGGGCCGTGGGGCCTTGGGAGCACCGCCCAGCTCTCTGCTTCTCTGGCAGAGAAGGACGAGTTCGACATCCCCAACCTCACGGACAACAGCCGGCGCCAGCTCTTCCGCACCAAGAGCAAGCGACGCTTCTTCTTCCGCGTGTCGGAGGAGCTGCTGCAGCAGCAGCGCAGGTGCGCGTGCTCCGCGCGGCGGGTGGGCGGGGCCTCCTGCTTTGGGGGTGGGGCGAACCCAAGCCTCGCCTTCCTGGAGAGGCGTTACCTTTGCCGCTCACCTCCCTTCCCCCACCCCCGTAGGGAGATGCTGAAGGACCCTTTCGTGCGCTCCAAGCTCATCTCAACGCCCACCAACTTCAACCACCTGGTGCACGTGGGCCCTGCAGACGGGAGACCCAGCGCCAGGGACCTGCCCCCAGTGGTGAGTTATGAGTCCTCTGGGGCCGATCACCAGCCTCTCCTGACCTGGGTCCCCGGACCTCCGCACGTCCGGGCCACATGCAGTTCGTGCGACCTGGTCCCAGCCCTTCGCGCTGTCCCCTCACAGGCTGCGGAAGAGAAGGGACGAGGTGCCCGCGGCTCTGGCCCGCAGCGGCCCCACAGCTTCTCCGAGGCCTCGCGGCGCCCAGCCTCCATGGGCAGTGACGGCCTCGCTAAAGACGCAGACCCCAGTAAGGACAGCCTCACCGCCTCCGCTACCTCTGCGTTCCTCCCCCATGTTTTCACCCCCTTTGGACGCTTCAAATCTGACCCTGGATTTTCGTCCCCTTGCTCATCCTGCTCCTGGAGCAGTGAAGAGGAAGCCTTGGACTTCTCTGTCCAGCGAATCTGTGTCCTGCCCCCAGGGATCTCTGAGCCCTGCGGTTTCCCTGATACAGGTGAGCCTCCCCGCTTCTGTCTTGTGCTGGGACCTGAAGCCAGAGAACAAGCTGATGCTACCCCTGCCTTGGATGCTAAGAGATGCTGACTCCCCCTGTCTGACCCCTTAGTGGGTCCCACCTGCCTGGAAGCAGGTCAGCCTAGGCCTGACCATCTTGGCTCTGACTGTCTCAGCAGTGTGGCCCCAGGTGACATGCCCAGCCTCCCTGAGCTTGTCTCACCTGTAAAATGAGGTTATCGTTATGAGACCTGTGTCAGGTGAAGAATCCTGAGCACAGTGCCTGGCACAAAGGGAGAGCACCGCAGAAGGGGAGCTCTTGGAATTCTGAGCACAGGCCCAGCCCTCGGGCAAGAGGTCAGAGGAGGGAGCAGCCTACTCTGGCTGGGGACCCGGAAGATCTAAGGATTTGGGAAGTCATCCACTCACCCTCCAGCCCTGTCTCCGTCTGCCACCCCCATTGCAGCCACAGCAGGTCACTCAAAGCCCTGCGACCGCCGTGTTCTCTCACACCTCCAGGCCCTTACCCCTGCCATCCCCGCTGCTCCTCTTGGAATGCCCTTTCCGGTCCTCCACCTGATTAAAGCTCAGGCCATGCTCAAGGCTCTGCACCAATATCACCTTCTCCAAAGACCACTTGGCTACCTGGTCAGGTGGTCACTGCCTCCCTGGGGCCGGGGCCACCTCTGACACCCTCCTCCCTCCACCCTGTCCTTGTCGATCCTGCTGTGCTCTAGTTTTCCTCTGAGGTCCTTGATCGCAAGGGTCAAGTTTGTCTTCTGCCTGGAGTAAAGCCTATTTGTTGATTGAATGTAGAATGAGCGAATGAACAGATGGGTCCTGGGAAAGCCTCTGAGAGGTGCTGACCTGGTGAGAGAGGAGTCCTGCTTTTCTCTTTCAACCCTGACTTCCATTTCTTTCCCCCTCCAGGTCTCAGAACGACCCCGGAGCCTCCCCCCAGCCCCTGAATCTGAGAGCTCCCCTTGACGTCCTCTGGCAGGGCCCAACTCCCTATCCCAGGACCCAGAGAGACATGAGGGAGCAAAGAGCTTGAGGAATGCCAAACTCCGGCTGGTCCGGGACATGTGGAAATTGGACTCAGGGAGGGTCTGGGCTGGGCATCCATGGCCTGGGTTTCCAGGCCCCTGTGGGCGGGATAGGGGTGGGGGTCTAACTCCCAGCCCTCATCCTGCCCTTCCCTCTGCTTGCAACCCCAACCTGTGCTAGCCACGAGGAATAGGATGGCCCCCTCCATTCTGGGGGCCCCTCTGCTCCATCATCCAGGGGTAATTGTGCCAAAGCTCTCATCTCCAGGGCCAAGCCCCGGTAGGCCTATGAGAGTCCAGATGAGGGACAGAGAAGGGCTGGACCCCTGGGAGCAAGCCGGGGTCTTGGCTGTGGACTAATGTCCAGCAAGGCCGAGTAGGGGCATATCCCAGTCTCCACTCAGGGAGAGGACAGGGAAGATAGACTCTGATCCAGAGTCCAAGGTAGAGAAGGAGAGAGGATGTTGGTGAAGGTGGTGAGAGGGGCAGGGGAGGAAAGGAAGTGCAGTAGGAGAGGATAGTGATCGGAAGGAAGTGAGAGCCAGCCAGAGGAGAAGGAGAAGAAGAGAAGGATAAAGGAGGAGCAGTGGAGAAGAGAGAGGCCAGAGGAGAGGGCTGGAGGGAGTGGGAGCTGGGAGAGCACAGGCCCAGGCCCCTTCTCTCTGCAGGGAGCCGGTGGGGGCCGGAAGAGGGAGGGACCCCAAGAGCCAGCTAGCATCCATCAGTCATCTAATCCGTCCAGGAGGAAGCAAACCCCAGCCAGGGTTGGGATGGGGGGTATTTATAAGGGCTACTTGGTGGGAAGTGGGCACCCTATGGGTCTCCAGGCACACTCTGGCCCTTCCCAGAAAGGGGACGGGTCCTTTTTCTCAAAGCTTCAACCACCTGTGTATTAGGGGATCATAGGAGTATTTTATTATTGATCACAGTCATTATTATTTTATTATAATACTATTTTTATTAAACGTCCCCCTACGGTTGAGTAGGGGGCAAAATAAGTATTTATCTTCTCAAATGCCATATGCCCGGGAGAGATCAACCCTGACGCTCTGTGAGGCAGTAAGAAACCAATAAAAACAGCTTTGTAAGCTGCTGGCCTGCCTGCCTGGATCTGTCTTCCTGGGGTTCAGAAAACAGAGGGGTCAGGGAGGAGGGAGGGGATCAGGGACAGTTAAAGGCCAGGTTGTCTTCCTGTGTCTTCACAAATCAGATGATGTTCACATGGGGGGGCGGAATGAGAGTTTAAAAGTGAAGGGACAGGGACTTCCCTGGTGGCCTCGTGCCTAAGACTGTGAACTCGCAATGCAGGGGACCTGGATTCTATCCCCGGTCAGGGAACTCAACCCCACATGCTGTAAAGATCCTGCATCCCTTAACTAAGACCCGGGGCAGCCAAATAGATACATTTTTTTTTTAAGTCATAAGTGAAGGGGGGTTTACAAAAGTGTGGGCGGCATCAGGGGAACTGACCAAGGAGTGGTGGTGCTCTGAGCCCTGGCAGCAGCGAGGAGCTGTTATCACCCCCGGGTCAGCTGGGCAGGGAAAGGCAGGTGTTAGCAGCGGGAGTTACGGCTCTCGTGGAAGCACTCGGCTGTGGCCAAGCAGGAAGGCAGCCCAGGAAATTAATTCCTATACCTCACTCTACTGTCTCCCTCCCATCCATCTCCTGCTTCCTTTTGTTCAAACCCAAGCAGCCACCAGAGGCCCCTAGACCTCAGTTTCTGCAGATCTAGAGGGCAGCCTTTAGGGTACAGAGCATGGGGCAAGGGGTAAGAAGTGGATCTGGAGGGCACAGCATGCTGTCCTACCCAGGTGAGGCTGCTGGGGGGGAGGGAGGGGTGTCTGGGAGGGGTCTCCTTGTTCTGAGCTGAGGTGTCCATGACTGGGCAGGACCCTGGCCTTGAGGCAGGGCTGGATGAGGCAGGAGGGTAAGACCTGGATTGGGGCAGGCCTGGAGCTGATGACTATGCCCTAAGGCTTGTGGATGGCCCTAAAGCTAGGAAAAATAACCAAGAAGGGGCCTAGGTATTGCTAGAGATGGGGATCAGAGGGGGCCCATGAAATTCCAGGGCCTGGTTAGGAGTGTAGCTTTGATTCCAGTCTAATGTAGAGGATGAGATGGTTGGATCTCATCATCGACTCAATGGACATGAGTTTGAGCAAACTCAGGGAGATAAGGAAGGACAGGGAAGCGTGGCATGCTGCAGTCCATGGGGTCGCAAAGAGTTGGACATGACTGAGCAACTGAAGTACAACTGCAGTCACGGGCAAATTATCTGACCCCTCTTAAGCATCAGTTTCTCCATCTGTAAGTGGAGACCATAAAACCCGTCATGGGAGGTTCTAGTAAGACTTTGGTGAGATAATCAGTATAAAATGCCTTTAACTCACTCAGGAATGTTTGCTCTGCCTATGGAGATGCCAAAGCCTGAAGAGAGAGCCTAGGGCAGGGATGCCAAGACTCCAGGCTACAAGGCTCAAGGCTCAAGGCTACAGGCTACAGGCTCCAGCCATCCTCACCAAATTGGAGAAATGGCCATTTCCCTAGCACCCTTTAATAATTTAGCCAACAGGTTTTCACAGTTTCACATTAAAAAAAATTTTTTTCTCCCAAAGTTTTATGTTGAAAAACTTCAAAAAAGGTTGAAAGATTACGAACTCCCCACCCTCTTCTGGATTCACCATTGTTTTCATTTTGCTGCTTTTGTATTTCTCATGTACTGATGTATTTCGCTACCATCTGAAAGTAAGTTACACACAACCTGAATTTTGCTAAATACTTTGTAGATACCTGTTAAGAAAAAGGAACCACCACCAAGGGAATTCCCTGCCGATCCATGTCTTGAACCCGTGGCTTTGGCAGTGGAAGCGTAGAGTCCTAACCGTTAGACCTCCAGGAAGTTTCCCAGGGCATATCTTTTTTTTTTTCTGGCTGTGCTTTGGCAGTCCAGTGGTTAGGACTCCATGCTGTCACTGCTGAGGGCCCCAGTTCAAGCACTGGTCAGGGAACTAAGATCCTGCAAGCTGCTGTGGTGAGGCCAAAAAAGAGAGAGAGAAAAAAAGAATAAGGAACCACCAGAAGTCACTCTCACAAGATTTAATATTAATACTCTCTATCAATCTGTTATGGGTTGAATTATGACTCCTAAAAATGAAGTCCTACTCCCAAATACTTCAGAGTGTGACCTTATTCGAAACTGGAGTCATTGTAGGCGTAAGTAGGTGAAACAAGGTCATTGGGGTGGGCCCTAATCCAATATGACTGGTGTGCTTTAAAGAAGGGGGAACTGTGGGTGCACACACAGGGAGCGCACCAGGTGAAAATGAAGGTAGAGATCAGGTTGATGCTTCTATAATCCAAGGGATGCCATAGGTTTGCCAACAAACCACTAGTAGCTAGGAGAGAAGCCTGGAATAGATTCTCTCCCAGCTCTCAGGAGTAACATCCTGCAGACATTTTTTTTTAAATTTATTTATTTTTAATTGAAGGATAATTGCTTTACAATATTCTGTTGGTTTCTGCCGTACATCAACATGAATCAGCCATAGGTATACCTATGTCCCCTCCCTCTTAAACCTCCCACCTTCCACCCCATCCCACCCCTCTAGGTTGTCACAGAGCCCTGGTTTGAGTTCCCGGAGCCATACAGCAAAATTCCCACTGGCTCTCTATTTTATATGTGGTAGTATGTATGTTTCTATGCTACTCTCTCCATCTGTCCCACCTTCTCCTTCCCCCCACCCCACTCCCATGCCCATGATTCTGTTCTCTATGTCTCCTGCACACATTTTGATCTTGGACTTTTAGCCTCCACATCTGTGAAGTGACACATTTCTGTTTAAGTCAACCAGTTTGTGGTATAATGGTCCTTTATAGCATTAAAAAAAAATTGAGTATCCAAATCTAGATCACATGTTGCATTCAATTCTTGTGTCTCTTGAATCTCCTTTGACCTAAGACAACTTTCTTCTCCTTCCTTTTTAGGTCATTTTTTATGATGTTAACATCTTTTTAACAGTCCAGGCCAGTTTTTTTTTTTTAGTAGAATAACTTGCAGTTTGCATTTGTCTAATTGTTTCCTCATCAAATTCACATTCAATACTTTTGTCAAGACATAGCAGATGCTACTTTAAATTAATTTTGATTACAACATTACACATTTTTTTTTCTGATAAATTAGAGGCTGAACTCCCATTTGGCTCCCTGCCCTCCCTCCATGACGTTAATTTATGTCAATGTCATTGGCGGGCATCAAGAGGGATCTCCCTCCCCTAGCCTCCTTGTCTCCATCATCAGGAATCAAGTTGGATCTTCAGGACCCTCCCTGTCCTTGGCAGGAAGCCCTGACCTCCTTGCTTGCTGCTGGCGCACCACCCAACCCCTACCTCAAGACCATCAGACCTAGTCCTACTCTTTGTCCCTGTTGCTCAGTTTCATTGCAGGCGCTGAGGCCTCTAGGTTCTCCATGGCTCTGGCCATCCCTTTTTCTGACCCCGTCTCCACCCTCAGCTCCTGAAAGCTGTTCACCATGTGCTCTAGAGCTGATGGTCCAACTGCAGCAAAATCCCCTGTGTCCTCGCCCCCTTTTGCAAATGGTCCTTAGCCCTCCTGCTCTGGTGGAAACTTTGCCCTTTGGGGTCATGCTCACTGCTTCATGTCCCACAGACTTTCCACAGCCCTCCTGCCTTATGGCCTGGAGATAGGGTAGGTGTCCTTCCCAAGGCCTCTCGTAGACATCCTCCTCCCTCTTCCTTTCAAACACTTAGGTTTGAACTCAAGTTATCAGCTTTTACCACTCACTTTGTCTCAATGTCCCTCAACCCATGCATGGCTCATTTCTCAATAATTCTAGCTCCTGGCTTGTTGCCACTCTCTCTATCCAACTCCTGTTTTATTACATTTATTTATTTTGGCTGGCCATGCTGTGCAGCTTGTAGGAC